TATTTACAACACACACCTAACATTACCAAAACCCACCTTAAATCCTCAATTGCTTTAGTTAAGCTTTATTCCTCTATCAGGAATTGCAGAATAAAGACAAAGGATAGTCCTTAAACACTGAGTTGGAAGATGTCCTCTGGAAACTATTCAGGAATGTTAGCTTATGCCTAAAATATCTAATATGTTTCTAAGACAATAAAACTTTAAAAATTAACAATTGTTTTAAAACTTCATTAGGACAAATTATCAGACATCTAACATTTTAACATTCCATTATTATTTAGTCTTGAATTGCAGAAACCTTAAGACATAAAGGCCATCAAAATTAATGAAATTATTCACAGAAGAGATCTACTGTTTGGGGAAATGGTCTGAATTTTCAGTTGTGGTGATATACTCACCAAGTTACAGTTTTCATGTAAAGAGCATTTCTGAACTTGGGTCTGTCTAGAAAACACCCCAAGCCTGAAGCAGCATAGACTTCAAACACACCTAAAACACAGAACTCCAGTTGCTCCACCCCAACAAGCACACTCCTCAAGCAACCCCAGCTTTTGGGAAGTTACACAACTAAAGCCAAACTCCCAACTGAAATCAGTAGCAGAACTCCCCTACTTGCTTAGGTGCAACTGAATCCAGCCTAGTACGCACAAGAGCAGAGGATCTGTCCAGACTCCATGAAAGGAGTAACTGCAGTGTTGACACCCAACACTGATGGCTTCAACTACACACTGCCATCAGTAGACTTCCCACTTCTATCAGACACTTAAAAAGAAAAATATGTTAGCAATAAAACCAGAAACATACTATCCAAGTAGAAATGCAGAGATATTAGTATATGGTCTAGTATTAGCAATATTTATACAGATAACAGTAAATATTAAATTATTAAAACTATTTGTACAATAAACACCAAAGCAAGGAGCACCATCATCATCAAGAAGGACAAAGGCAACACAAAGGAGTTGAGAGAAAGAGTAATCAACAACGTAACATGCTAGTTAAGTGGGACAATCTCATGTCAGAAAAAAGCTATTGAATGCAATAGAGAACTAGAAAGCAACATCAGAAAATTAGAAAGCAATTAAGTCAGCAGGGAGCTTCAAAAATGCATTCTCATAAGAAAAGGCATTGGAGTTACACTTTATGCAGAGACAGCTGGAGAAGAGCAGGGGAGGCCAAATAAGAAAAAAAGTATCCCAAAACAAGAGCTAAAAACAGTCCAGAAGAAGAGATGGTCCCACTTCCAGTTACATTGAAAAAAAAAAAACCCACCAACAAAGGAATGCAGCACCACATTATTTAAAAAGCAAGGCTCTGCTTGCTCAAGAGTTGAGAGGAAGAGAGGCAGGACAGAGGCTGAGGACATTGCACAGATCCTACCCAATCCCACTGCCAAACAACTGCAGACCCCTTCCCACTCCCTGCTGACTGAGGCACAGCCCCAGAGCACAAGTCAGCACTCTGGATAAGGTATCCCATTCCTGCACAACTGTGCACATACACCAAACGCAGCAACTCCTGAGCTGCCTTCACACTGAGCTCCCAGTCAGTACAAACATTAATCTCAACAACTGCCAAAAAAGAAAATAAATATCACCCTATTCTTTTAGAAGGTAAAAAATGTAGGAAGAAGAATTAGCACAGCTATATAGCTGATCACCATGACAGATTCAAGAAGAATTCAGGATTTTCTGTCTCCTTCAATCTCCACTGACCTACATTATCTTATCAGCTGCTTCTAATTTCCCCTTAATTTAATCTATGAAGTACTCTGGCTATTTTACTTCCTGTTCACTTTCCTGCAGAGTTAAACTTTAAATAATAATAATAAAAAAAGCCACTAGTTTGTCACAAAAAACCCCTACACCCTTCTATGTCCTTGCTAATGCCAGATGAAAGACAAGATTTTTACAGTCATTAATATGAACTTTACAACAGGCCACGTAACTTCAGCTGTTCCCTAAAAAGTTCTAATATTTTATTTCACTTGTAGCACTTCTGCCAAACAGCAGATACAGGGTACACTAATACCTGTGATATCAGCAGATTCACTTGTACTCACATTACTGTAGCTCTGTTTTTTAAGTTACAGCCTCATCATATATTTTACTTATTAACTCCAAAACGCTCCTCCAGTGAAGTAATGCTCTTACCATAGCAGAACAGACCCTCTCCCCAAAGAACAGCTGAGTATAATCTAGGACAAATTAGCATCACCTGCATTCAGAAGAAATTGTTCTATCATTAAAAATTGCGATGAGATCACACAACCCATTGCCTGCAGTTCTACAGGGCCAGCTCACAAATACAAATATTCACTCTGGAGAGGCACAAGCAGCTTTACTGACTGCATCACTTTTAGCAGCAGTAAAGATTTGCACAAGCCCACACACTTGGAAAGCTGATGCTCCAAACCTGAACTGCACTAACTAGGGTGGGCTCTGTATACCCGAGAACAGCCAATTTAGACTCCTGTGCCACTGTCCACAACCTTCTCACACCATGGCCTGACAGACTCACTAATCTCATGCACAGCAAGGCCACTGCAAAATGCTCTACACCAACAATCAGAGCATTTCTGTTATCCCCTAATCTCTCACGGGACACTTCAAAGGTACTACTGGATCTTTCCATCTATACCATGCCTCTCAGAAAAACACATCAGCAGTCACAGGAACAGAAAATAAAAACAGCAAAAAAGGAAGAAAATGGGGCTTTTGTTAATCATAAAGGGAGAAAATATGAAAGTTATCTTACACACTGGAAACACAAAAGCTGGATCCCCTCACAAAACAATAACCCAAGACTTACTTTTCCCTTCTCAAGAAACAGGAATTTTAATACCTTTCCTCTCCTTCTCCCAGCACAGTAGAATGGAAGGGTTCACACCAACCTCCTCAGAAAAAAACCCACAAGATCTCCTGCCTTCATTCAGCTCTCAAGTACGCAACAAGTTTTCAAATCCTGTGCCAAACACCAGAGAGCACACAAGTAAACAGATGAAAGAATTTGGCAACAAAATTATATACAAACAAACAAAGGAAAAAAATCCCAAGTGTAGTTTAGAGGAGAGGTAGCAGGGAAATGGGTACAAAAAGCTGTTGTGCTCTACCACACAAAAAAACAACGGGGAAATGAAACAGCACAATTTTCTCTGCCATTTTAAATGTGGGATGCTAGGAGCATCCCTATAGGATTCCCCTGCATTTACAGGGGAAAACACACTATATTTTACTGTTTAAGCCACTATGGACCAAACACCTTTTGGCCACACATGTGACACTGTTATCCTTTCAAAGACCTTCCACTGGGATTCTGCACTATCCCGTTAATATTTCAAGCATCAGAAACTGAAATTTGTCGCTCAACATTTTTACACATCACTTTCAACACAATAAAACACACACCTGTTCCATCTGTTAACTTTAAAAACAATGTCTACTATAAAATAAATTACAATTTATCTTATAGCTCGTGCGAGAACTCAACCAGCCTTGAAGAAGGGACTTGAAGGCCCTTAGAGACCGGCCATCGGACAGCAGCTCACTGCAAATACCTTTAGCCAGACCGAAAATCTCCTGCTTCCATTAAAACCCATGACCGGGAAGTAATGCAGACGCTGCAATACTCGGAGCACTTGTGCAGCCTAGGCAATCATATAGCGAAGGAAGGCCGAGCACAAGTCCCGACTTCTGCCAGGACGGCAGCGAGCCACAGCACGAACCGCACCTGAGGTACGCGCTACCGCTGCCGCTGCCCGAGCTCCGGGCACGGGGGCCGAGGCAGGGCTGCACCGTCGTCTCTCCGGCAAAGAATGGCCAGGGCACGCACGGACCGCTCCCACACCCGAGCAGGAGGCCCCGGGGCGCAGGGGAGAGTTGGAAGCGGGCCGAAGCGCCGGGCAGAGAGCGGCGCCGACAGAGGCGGCGAGAGGGCAGGGGGCGGCCTCGCGGACAGAGCGGCCTCGGCCCAGCCGCGGAGCTCGGGGCGGAGAGAGGCCCCAGGACTCGCGGGCCCCAGGCGGCGGGACCCGGAGGTCAGGGGAAGCCCGGCGGGGCAGCGGAGGCCCGAGCCGGTCCCACTCACCAGGCCGGTCCCTGCAGCGACGGCGGCGGACAGAGCCGGGCATTCAAAATGGCGGCGGCGGGGCCGCAGCACCGATACCGCAGGCGGAGGGATCCAGGCGCTGGCTTGCTCCCCGCGACCCCGCAGGCTCTGCAGACCGCGGGTGGGAGCGCGGCCGCGCCGAGTTCGGCGGGAACGGGGCGGGGATGGCGAGAGCGCGGTGCAGCACCGGCGGCGGCGGGACCGAAAATACCACTTGCACTACTTTTCTTAGCGGAAGCACCCGTGAGGTCTTAGACGACAAGGTGCGTCTGCACCGTGGCATTCCCTGATGACGTCATGCGCGGGGCGGTCCCGGCACGCGCGCTCCCAACGGCGGGGCCGGGCGGGACTCGCCGCCCGTGTCCGCGGTTCCGGGATCAAGGGGTTCCGAGGGGTCAAGCCGCTCCCAGCCCGCCGAACCTTGCACTGTTTAAACGTCCAGCGGCGGCGGGGTGAACGCAGGGTGCCGCAGGAAACGAGGAGGCTCTGGAAGGGGGTACAGAGCCACCCCCGCCCCAGGCAGCTATTGTGTTCCCGCTTCCAGGACCTTATGCCACATTAACGATTACCGAATGACGAGTAGCTGCTCTCCGCGGAGCCCGGTCGGCAGCACGGGGCCGGCCGGACACTGCGGGGATGCGAGACAGGGCACGGACACGTTCAGACCGAAGGCTCCTGCAGGGGAGCCGGGCCACGCCGCCGCTGGGCCCTCGCTGCCAGCCAACCGCTGAGCGATCCCGTCCGGGGCGCGGGGCCAACGACAGCCGCGCGGCGCTGTCGCCAGGCGCCTCCGCTGGGGCCGGGCCGGGCGCAGCCCGCGGGCCGAGCTCAGCTCCGGGCGGACGCGGCTGGTTGCCACGGCAACGGCGCTGCGCGTGCCCCGGGACGCCATCCGGGCGCGGCGGAGTCACGCCCCCGAGCAGTTCCGGCGTTCGGTGTGTGCGTCATTGCCATGAGACGCGTCATCGGCGTGCGCCACGGGCGGGGAGGAGCCGGTCCGGGCGCCGGGCGGGCCCGCGGGGCCGGTCCGGGCTATGGCGGGTGAGCTACGGGCACCGGGTGGGCGCCGGGCGGGCCCGCGGGGCCGGTCCGGGCCATGGCGAGTGAGCCGCGGGCACCGGGCGGGCACCGGGCGGGCCCGCGGGACGGTACGGGGCGGGGTGCGCGGCAGCGCGGCCGGGGTTTTGGGGCCGGGGTTGGGGGCGGCGACCGGGCTCGGGCGTCTTCCGTCCTCGCGTTCCGACCCGGGGCCAGGGGCCGTCGCCGGGGCCGTTCCCGGGGCCGGGGCTCGGGCCACCCCCCCGTTCCCGAGGCCTGGACTCACAGCTCCCTCTGTTCCCGGCACAGGTGAGGCGGCTGCCGGCGGCGCGGATCCCGGAGCTCGCGCGTGGCAACCCCAGTGGGTGCCCCCATGAACGAGCGGCGCGGCCGGGGCTGCCGGGACACCGCAGGGCGCCATGAGAGCGGGCCACGAGCGCAGCCAGGAGTGTCTCCCGCCCAAGAAGCGGGAACTTGCCGCCGCCAGCACTGGCACCGAGGCGGGACGGGCGGGGGGAGCCCAGGGCTCGGGCGAGGGCCCCGAGTGGGCTCGCACGGCTCGGCCGCCTCCCGCCACACCACGCTACGGTCCCGGCGAGGCCCCCGAGGCGGCGGCGGGGCTGACCGTGGACCAATACGGAATGCTCTACAAAGTGGCAGCACCACCTGCCACCTTCTCCCCCACGGGCCTGCACCCCGTGGTGAACGTGAGCCCCCTGCCCCCAGCCTTCAGCGTGACCTCGCCCATCATCCAGCACCCGGCGGTGCCCTTCCCCTCCATCCACTATGCACAGATCCCTTCGGCTTCCCTGCAGCTCATCGGTTCCCCCTACACAGTGCCCTATGCCGTCCCTCCTGCCTTCATGCCTAGTCCTCTCCTGTCTCCTTCCACAAACCTCAGTGCCCCCCATGTCCCCCACTTTGTTCCATATGCCTCCCTGTTCACGGAAGAAGCTGCTCCTTCCCCCCAGACTACCTCTCCCACCCACAGCTTCAACAAATCCACCTCTGCAGCCTCTCCTGGGCAGATGCAGCACCACACTGCGCCCCAACCAGTGGACGTGGCACCGGGGAGAATTCCTGTTTATTATCAGATGTCCCGCCTCCCACCAGGCTATTCAGCCTATGAGGCACCTGTAACAGGTGGGAACCCAGAGTCTCCTCAGCAAGACAGTCAGCTGAGCTCAGAGGTGGCTGCGGCCAATGGTGGGCAGAGGCCCCTGGAGCAAAGTGTGGCCAGGAGGCCCAGCGAGGCTGTGGACTCTGCCAGCAGTGCAGCTGAGGACTGTCTTCCCCCAGGGGCTGCAGCAGGACCTATGGGTGATGGACAGTTCCTTCCAGGTTACCAGATGCTGGGAAGAGAGATCTCTGTGCCTACTCACAGGAGCACCCCAGACGCTGATCTGGAGGTTCAGAGGGTGGTGGGGGTGTTGGCATCTCAGGATTATCATGTTCTGGCAGCCCAGAGGAAAGATGACCCAAGCCCTTTAAATCTTTGCCATAATACCACTGATGGGCAGGGAGACATGCTGAGGAACACCACAGATAGGGCTGCAGCTGGGAACAGCCAGTCCCAGAGCCCATGTGGAATGTCCCCCGAAGAGACTGTTAAACAGAGACAGTTAGCCAAAGGAATGGCGATAGCCAATGGCAAGCCAGTACTTGTTCCCGTTGGATCTGAGCCCGTCAGGTCTTCCACTTCAGAAGCCCTGCTGAGGGAGAGCCCAGATGCACAGGCTCGAGGATATGTGCTTGAAAAGGAGCTGGCCCAGTTGCAGCCACCCAGCTCCTCACAACTGCCCTCTCATTTCATGAAAGGAGCCATCATCCAGCTGGCGACGGGAGAGCTGAAACGGGTGGAGGACCTGCAGACTCAAGACTTTGTTCGCAGTGCGGAGGTGAGTGGAGGCTTGAAGATCGACTCCAGCACTGTGGTGGATATTCAGGAAAGCCAGTGGCCTGGGCTTGTCACACTGCATTTTGTGGTTGGGGAGCAACAAAGTAAAGTGAGCATTGATGTGCCCCCGGAGCATCCCTTCTTTGTGTATGGCCAGGGCTGGTCCTCCTGCAGCCCCGGGAGGACTGCTCAGCTCTTTGCTTTACCCTGTCACAGGCTGCAAGTGGGGGATGTATGCATATCAATCAGTTTACAGAGCATGAATGGCAACTCTGCTTCTCAGGCCAACTCCCCTCTCATGGATCAGCTGGTATCTGCTAGGGAGAGATTGGAACAAACAGCCCAGGGGCCCAGAGAGCCATGTGACAGAGCTGGTGAAAGGAAGAGCCACACAGATAGAACCAGCACGGCTCAGAGCTCCCATGCAGAATCTTCTCAGTCTGAGGCTGGCAATCTGTACAGTTTGGCCTCAGGCTTCCAAAGATACAGCATGCAGGCAGAGGAGCCTCGGCCCTCTCTGCTCCGTCCCTCTTTCATTCCCCAGGAGGTCAAGCTGTCTATTGAAGGGCGTTCGAATGCAGGGAAATGATCCCTTAGAGGTGTGAGCTAGGGCAGCCACAGCAGGCGAGCCTCACCATCAGGTGGAGGAATTGCACAGACTGTCAGAGGCTCACCAACAAAGGCTGCTCTCTGCCTTGCAGGAATGACTCCATTCCAGTTCCATGGCTGACCAGTTGCTCCTGGGGAGTCAGGAGGCCTCCAGTGCCTCAGGGAGCAGCGACAGGCTAGCTGGGGTGGAGAGCAGGGATGTGGTCATGAGTGTGTGATGAGAGCATTCCAGAGGCTGCTGGAGGCTGGGGCTTTCTCCCACTTCCTGGGATAACTGACTCCCTGCGGGGCAGGGGCCGAGCATTCGGGGCAGGTAGGGAGATGAGGAGGGCAGACTTGGCTTAAGGTAGCAGATAAAATTGCTGAAGATTTTATTTCTTTCTCATAATGGGGAGATATGGGTCCCCACTGGAGTTTGGGGGCTCTACTCCCAGTATCCCCTTTCTTCACACATGCACTTTAAAAGGACAGTTCACCGATGGAGCTCTCAAGGGCAGGATGGAGGTGCTTCTCTGGTGGTTCTGATTAATGTCTCTTCCACTGAATCCAACTACTCTTTCTTCTTGCAAAGAATGTACAGATTTGAATGAATCACATAAATTCAAGAGGAAGGACCAAAAGGATGGGCTTGGGTGCAGGTGAATAGGGAACTTGAGCACTTGAGATGGGACACAAGTTGGGATGGGAGACGTTGTTTCCTGCTATAAACTCTACTTAGTTGTTTTGCCACCAAACCAAATCTTTCTTCCCATGTTACTAACTTGCAAAAAACCCTTCTGGGCTTATAGCTTTTGCAGAGGCTTAACCTAGGGATGAATGGGGTTGGATTTTTTTTGTTTGGTTGAATTTTGGTTTTGGATATTTGTTTGGTTTGGTTTGTTTTTTTTTGTTTTTTTTTTTTTAAATCTGGAGCAAAATACATTCAGCATTCTCTAGAGAAGGGTGAAAACATCCTTCTTCTGTGAGAAGACCAATGCTATTTTGTAATTATGTCAGAAAACTGTTCCAAATGGCTAATTCTTCCCTGCAGGCAGTTTCTTGAATAAGCTCTAGACAAGAGACAAGTGTTTGTGCACATGCAGACAAGGTACAAAATTTGTGCTAAGTACAATTCTATGATTAATGTACGGACTCTAAAAATATCATAGTGTCACAGGGCATTTTGGGGTCATTTTGTGTTAGTTTTTCTGATGCTTCACTTCAGAGTTCCTCTGTAGAACAATGTGATCAAATCAAGAGTAGTCTTTTTCATGGTGAAATTTAATGCAGTTGTGTATGAACAGCTGATTGTGGTGGTAACACTCTATTGAGTGAAGTCTCCTGTAGTTACACTAATCTGCCCTCTCTGATGGTGTGTTATGACACCATTGCTCCGCTAGGATAAAGAATAGTCACTGTTCTGGTGAGAAAATGGTTTTCACTGGCTTAACCTGGGTTGAGTATTCCTTGTGTTCAGGTGCCCATCTCTGTGCTAGGACCAGGCTTTGGAGGGGGCTTTCTTAGTACACAGAGTCCTGATGTTCAGCATGCTCTTCCTATCTCCCTGGTCTCATCTGCCTGAAATTTGTCAAGTGTGCCTGACTCTTGGGGTGCCACTCCTCTCTGTCACAGAATGGTGTGTGTCAGCACCTCCCCTTGCAGTGGTGCTGTCTCGGGGCTGTTCTGCACTCCCCAGGAGTGTGTCCTGTAACTGATTGGCTTCTGCTGACTGTGCAATGGATGCATCTGTGTATTAGACAAGTTAGTCTTCAGAATGTCCCTTCCATCCCTGCCTCAGTCCTGTTTTCTTAGCACATTGCTAGCCATTTCTGTTGCCTTTAAAATGCCTGCACCAGGACAGGCCTTAGGTGAGATATGTGCTAATTATGCCCTCAGTGTTTGTGCCTCACAGGGTTCTCTGGAATGAGGATGCTGTCCCAAATAACACACTACTTCTGGTTTCATCAGCTGCATTTGGGATGTCACAGTGATGCTGTTGTGTGAAGATTCTGCCTCCTCAGGTGCAGCAGCTATAGGAATAGATGCTGTTTTCACAACCCTGTTTGTCAGTCAAGTGTCCACCTGGGCCCCATCATCACCTGAGGGTGTCACAGTTCCTGCTGACTGGACTCTCCTATGTAAAAATCTCCATTAATGTTGGTAATTAGTACTTAATACTCAGGATATCTGAGGTGTCCGTGGCCAAAGGCAGGAGGCAGAGGAGTCTGTTTTCTCATGCCTGTTCTATGCACAGTGCATGCAGAAGGATTCAGGGCTGCAACAGGCACTTGAGAAAGGGATCTCGCATACATAGGGCTTGTGAATGTAGAAGGGCTGGTTACACCATAGAGGCAATGTCTGAGCAACTGATGGTGCAGAGCCCCTTGAGTGTCTCTGAACCCTGAAGTCCGTGTTAGAGTGAGGGTTTGGAGAGCTTGCCTTAACACCATGTGTGTTACTGTAACTCCTCGATCTCAGCTGCACTGTGCAGTAGTCTGAATGGGCAGTACTGACAAATGAGGCAAGATGCTGTGTGACTTAAATAGCTTTGTACTGTAGGCACGTGAAGAACTGTGAAGGTGCTTGCCCTGTTGTTTACCTGGCTGCTGACCTGGACTTTGGCTTGCTGCACCTCTGTTGGGTGCAGTCCTGAGCTCTGTGGAACAGGCCATGGTGAACTGGACCTTGGTGCTTTTATCCAGACTCCTGTCAGTCCTGCTGCTGTGTGTGTTTCGGCTGCCAGCTCTTCCCTGGAAGCAGTGGTTTGAAGCACAGCTCATGACAGGGGACTGAGATTAAGAATCTGTGTGTCTGGCTGTTTGCCCCAAAGGGTGGACAGGAGGGGGCCACTGACAACTCTCCAGCCCAGCTCAGCAGTACTGGTATCACAGGAACCTGTCCTTACTGGACAGGGCTGTATGGCTTAGCACCATAGTGGTGATTGTGCTGAGCACTGAGGCTCTCCTGGGACAGGCAATGTGTGGGACAGGGAGTGTGTGAGACAGGCTCTGCTGCAGTGAGAAAGGCTGTGAATGAGCCCATGGAGGAGGCTTTTATTTCTCGGGTTTACAGGGGGAGGAGATAAAGCCTGGAAGACACTGCAGAGTGAGATGGTTACCTGGGCTTTTCTGCTGGCAGAGATGTGACAGACTTCTCAGAGAAATATACCACATTCCTGCTGCTATTGTCTAGGGTAGGAGAGCTGTGGTCTGTCCTGCCTGGAGGAGGCCCTAATCTTATCCAGCTCATGCTCTGTAGCAGGAATCCATGGGATGCAATAGTGGGTGTCTGTAGCCATCTGTCCCATCCCATGGAACATGCCTCAGGTTAGCTGCACAGCAGAGCAAGGCCTGTCTCTGTGCTGTGCATTCACAGCAATGAGCGCTCATCACTACCAGACTATGCAGAGGAAGCTCTGTCTGGAAGGGAAGGAAGCTGCAGAGGCCCCTCTGCCTTCTCCTTCCAGCTGCTGAGCAGCTTTTTATATTGCACTTTTCACGTTGTGTCCCTGTCCCCACCCCACACCTCAAGTCACTTTGTCCCATAGGGAACTAACAATCCTTGTTACTCAGAAAATATTGCAAAAGAAACTACAGCAGCTGGGGTAGCCCAAATGCTACTTCCTGCCCGCAGCAGCATACGTGCCTTCCCCAGCATTGCTCACAACTGCTCCCTATCTTTCAAGCTGTGCTAGAGCCTGACACTTGTCAGAAGCTGCTAAGATAGCTACAAATACACATCCTGTAGAGTTTGGCCCAGGGTATTCCACATACAGTTTAAAATGCTGATGGTCCAGGCCCTCCCATGGCCTTCACACTGTCAAGGACAGAATTGCCCCATAGGTCCTGGGCTGCTGCCACCCACCCTGCCAACACACCCCTGGCACACTCAAGTTGTTTTTGGCTTTCATGGCACCTTAGCGCCAGGGAGGGTGTGCTCAGAGAGAGAGAGAGAGAGAGACATGGGGGAGCTGGCTGGGCTGCCCTGAGGCAGAGAGACGTTTGTAGATAAGTGCTGACCCCTCACTATAACCCCAGTATATGGCTGTATTAACATGTAACCGATGCAGTGTATCTAAAGCCTTAGAACTAGTCAGGTGCTCCCCTCCAACTTTGTCCCTGCCCCTTTCCTCCTACCTGATCTTTAACAAAGCATTAATAATTCTAAGGATAATCTCTATTTTGTTGTGCTTTTTTTGTAACTGTTTTAAATAAATCAATTTGTACTGTATATTTGTACTTTGGTGAGATCCTTTTTCCTGTTTTACCATTTTAAGTCTGTACTTGCCTACAAACAAATTGTATTTTTATTGTTAATGCTTTTATGAATATTGCATTTAACTTGTTGACTCTGTAAACACAGTATATATCTATATACATATATATATATCTATATATAAACCAATAGCTTTTCCTTTGGTGTTTGAGACTTTTTGCTTGTGTGCAGTATCAGTGGTCATTAGCATGTGGCTTCTCTGGATTTACACAGTGATCTGGAGACTCATGTCAAGGGCAAGATAGAGGGTGACAGATGGATTATAAGTCATACTTCTGTGTTTTCAGATACTTTTGTGTTATGTGGTCTCTCCTGAACCCCTTGGAATAAAGATAAGGTGTCAGTGACACTACAGGGAAAGTTCCAGCTGCAGGTTGGAGAGTAAAACTCTCCAACCTGCAAGCAAAAACATGAGGTAGAGCAAAAGCAGATACTGCCAGAAGCAACCTGGGGGTTTGAGTATCAAAATGAACACAAGTGAAGATAAAAGTGAGAGATCACAAAACAGAAGAGGATATGAACAAAGGAACATGGAACTGAACAGCTCCTTTACAGTGCCTTTTCCCAAAGAGGAGAAGCAGGGATGGCTCCTGGGTGTCAGCTCTACATGATGAATGAACATCATGTTAAAACAGCTTCAGTACAGGGAAGAAACTTGATGTTGCAGTGGCAGGAGGAGAAAACTTGCACTGAAAAGGTTCAATGCTGTTTCATCCCCAGGGATGCCTCTGAGAGTGGTTCTTTATTGCACAGAAAAGTGCAACATTATGCATTTTGAAGGTAACTTTTTAAACTAGGGCTTTAAGGGACTGCAATCAATTTTTTTTCAAACTGAAAAGTGAGGAGGAAATGAGGGTTTTAAGTAGTCTGATCAAAAGGTTTTGCTTCTTGTTTTAACTTTAACTCTTCTGATCTCAAGTAGCAGTCTTGTCGTCACCATTTCTGACTTAAAGAGAAACAGCCATCAGAGAGAAGACAGTACTTCCCAAGGTGTTTGAACCACTGTATGACTCTAGACATAAACTGGAAATACTATGGCGGTAATAGGGGTTTTCAGGCTACAAAACACAGAAGCGTGGCACACTGGCCTCACTGGCCTTTGGTGGGCTGATGTCTCAAAACCACGAAGCTAACACCATGCATTTTCAGGTGCTCACTCTTAAAGAAGCCAAATAATGGAGGGTGTACCACTTCTTTGCCCTGCCACGAGTCCTTCTGTGCCACTGCTTTGCCTTTTACAGTTTAAAGATGCCTAGATACAATTTCCATAGTTGCATAGTTTTAATAGTGATTTCTATTAGCAACAGGAACCTTTTCCTGTAGGCACAGTCTATGATGACGTTTTGCCTCCACTACGTCTATGCTGCTCTTGCACTGGGGGCTCCAGCACTGGACACAGGTCTCCACATGTGGCCTCACTAGTGCTGAATAAAGGAAAAAGCAAACCCGTAAAGTCCTAGAAACTGACGTACTCTATTATTTACCGTTCAATCAACTCTTCCACTTGCAAACCTGAAATGCTGTTTAAGTGAAAATAACTTGTGAGTAAAGCAGCAAACCTGTTTGCTATTTGCTTACCTTGGCCAGCCTTTCTTTCACTGTTTTTATGGGGTATCTTAAAACAGGACCTCAGGTTCCTTAGTTTTTCCATGGATGCCACTGCAACTAAGTATATAATAGTGATGATTTTAAAAAGGGTGTGCACAGGTATTTCCAGAAGGACATCCTCCTTTGTTTCCTTTTTATGGGCACAAACTGCAAAGGACTTACTCCCGGAGAACTTTGTGGACTATCTGTCTTCAGCTCTGTAATTCATGCTGCAGTAAACAAGATCCTTTTTTATTGAAGTGGATTTCACCTACAGCAGAACTGCAGCAGCGTAGATGTTTTGGGCAGCAAGGGCCCAAAACCAGATCAAAGCACAAAAGGTAAAGAAGGTGATTAATACATGTGAACATTAATTAATGTTAATTAATACATTAATTTATTTTCATTCTGTCACAGGCTGTGACTTGGCCCCCAGAGCAGACTGTATCCTCAGAATCTGCTCCCGTTAGAGCTGCTTTGGCAGGCATCTCTCAGCTCTGGTCTCCTCCTGGGTTCAGAGGAAAACCAGAACCACCTGTCAGGGAGGATGAGGCAGGGACCCGCAGCAGCCTCCTGAGTGCAGAAGCCTGCTAGTGCATATGTGGCAGGTGCAACAAAGGCAGCACAGTTCTTGCCTATGGTTTAGTGCAACGCATTGTTGCTCTGCTCCTCAAAGGTCATTTTGCCCAGCAGCTGGCTCTCCAGCTCCACGTTGCTCACTGGCAGCTGAAAGAAGTTCATCTCAGCTGCCAGAGCGGCCATGGCAGAGGAGTCCTGGCCAAACTGTGCCCGGAGCATCATATCCATTTTCTCCAGGCGCCGCTTGAGCCTCTTGGCTTCACGCTCGCGGATGAGCCGGGCTTGTCGCTTCTCAGGGGTCTCGTTGGCGCGTTTTAGGCGCATGGCTTCCCGGTCCCTCTGCAGCCGCCGTGCCCGCTGCTCATCTGTCTCCTGCATGCGCTGCAGCCGTTTGGCTTCCCGATCCCGCATGCGCCTCACTTCGCGCTCCTCGGGTGTCTCATTGTCCCGCCGGCTCTTCTTGGCCGTACGCTCCCGCTCCAGGCGCTGCAACCGCACTTCCAGGGGCTCGTTCTGGCGCCGCAGGGCCCACTTGCGCATGCCGGGCGTCTGTGCCTCCAGCAGCTTGCGGTACGCAGCACAGTTGTTGCACACCAGGAGGATGCCCGCAGGATACACAGGGGTGCAGAAGGCAACATCCTTATCCTCAGCACTGGAGGGGCCCTGGCTCTGTGGTGCCGGCAGCCGATCCGCACTGAGCACCTCTGGCAGCTTCTCACTGCAAAGCAGGAGGAACGCAGTCAGAGGCTTGGTGCTTTGGGCAGAGTCCCCATGGGCTGCCATGAACAATGCTCCCACTTACAGCCCATGGCAGAGCCCTCTGCTAAATCATTTGCCCACATATATGTCTGAGTACCTAAAATAAAGCACTCTCCTATTCAGGGCAAGGAAGGGGATTAGCCCAGAGCAGTATATGGGTTGGAAGAGTGCAAGAGTGGGAATAATCCAGCGAGCTGCTCCTCCCCATCATCTCTGAATATCTCCTTTTAGCCCCATTCCACTGGTCAGTGTATAATCTCCCACTAGGCAGGACACAAAGAAAGAACATTTTGGTGGTCTTCACCTGTAGTCCTGCTCAGGACATAATGAACACATTTGGATAGTGCAGCGTTACTCCAGTGGATTGCTGGGCAAGGGAAGGGGTGGATTGTTCTCCAGTGACTGGAGCCCACAGCACTTTCTCTAGCTCTGCACAGTGCTAAGAAAGACCCTTTTACCAGCACAGCCTGCAGACGTCTTGGCAGGGGATGCAGAGCTGCAGAGAGGAAGGGGTCAAGAGAATCTCACTCACTGGGGATGTTTAGCACTCTCCTACAGGCCTCAGCGGGTCCAGAGCCACAGCTTCGGAGTCATTCAAAGCAACCCACCTAAACTTTAATGTCCTGCCCTAGCCCACTCATTGGCCAGGGTGACCCTGACCTGTTGAAGGTGGCGTGGCTGGTGAAGCGTGCTCCACAAACTGCACAGTTGGACAGCTGGTCCTCTGAGTGGATCAGGAGATGTCTCCCAAGGGATCCTGGGGAGCTGAGAGCTCTGCCACACACAGGACACAGGTAGCTCTTGGCACTCACCACCGCTCCAGTGTGCTGCAAAACAACCACTCAGGTGGTAGTTACATATTGCCCAGCTCCCTGCCCAGTCCAAGGCATGCTCAAACCATTCTGTTCAGCCTCTTGGAATGGGAACCCTTTACAACTAAACCTCTGTCTGCTAGCTTTTAGACCAAGCTCAAGACAAATAATTCAGTGTGTCACAGGTCAAACAAGGAGAAAACCCCTTTATAGCTCAACTCCAGTGCAGGAGAAAAAATTAAGGCCAAAACACTTGGATTGTAAGACCTGACCCTTGTTTTCAGGAATGCATTTGAAGAACTGCTGGTGCAGGACAAACCATGACTCAATTAAAGCAAGGCTGGATGCTGGTGAAGAAGCACTTACATGGAGGCAACTGGTACAGGTAAGTTCTGTTTCATTCCTTCTGCTACAGACTTTGATGTGCTATGAAGAAAGCACTGACAACAAAACTTAAGATTTCACCACAGATTTCTTGAAAAACTGGAAAATTTTTTATGAAGAACAGCTATTCTCATGGCTTATTACAGGAATTTTAATGAAGTATAACATAAATGATCAGGAGGAAGGTTTCTTATCTCACTGAATGATATAAAAATTGCTTCCATGTTTAGTTTGAAGGATCTGCCTGGTTTTAGCCTGAAATATTTGCAGAGACTGCCTCGGCTTAGAGTTATGATTTCCAGATCTGTAGACCAGGGCCTCGCTAATTCTTTCCCCCAGACACCCTCTGGACACAGTTTACAGCTGTAAACTTCAGTCACATCCTAGCTGGAAACTCAGTTCAGAACAAAGTTAGACCAGAACAAAGTTACCCTGTGCTCTGAGTTGTTTCTGGATTTGAGGCTTCAGGCCAGAGACACTCCCCAGTTGGAACTATCCCTACCTGGTAGACGTGTGCGATGAGTTGATCTCTGCTTCCACACTCGAGCTGGCAGAGGGGGCATTGTGACAGTCCCAGTATGGGCTCAGCGTTTACACTCTGAGGCACCTAGGGGTAGGAACAGCCATTTGGTGTAAGGCACACAGACCCCCGCAGGCACAATGCCCTTCCTTGGCTCCTCCCAGTGCTGCCATGTGCCCAGTCCTGCCAGGGCTGGCTTGGCTGCTTGACACCTGAAAGAAACCTCCTTCATGTAGCCTCTGAGCAAAACCCCTGCATCTCACAGAGAGGGGCAGAGGCCTCACAGCCTCACCTGCACCCAGGTTCTTGCCAGCATAGTGACTCGAGAAGGCAGGGCCTTTTCTGTGGCAAGGGTAAGCCAATTGGAGAATGGCACCAGAACCAACAGAAGGGGATGCACTCTGCAAACATCTTGGGCCAGTTTGTGCCTGCTGTCTCCTGCTCCAGGCAGCCAAAAAGCTCTTCATACCCTTTCCTCCTGCCAGGAGACATTGTTTGGAGGTGGTGGGAGGGAGAGAAAGATAAAGAAACATGATGGGGAGAGGAAGTGGTTAGACAGTACCCTTCTCTCTCCCGGGAGGCTATGGTGAGTGCAGAGCCAGTACACACTTGCCTCGTTTTCTCTTATCAATGGGGTTCCAGCCACAGGTCGTTCTGCATTTTCTAATTCCTTCTTCACTTTCACCATTGAGCCGTCTTCCTCAGATGTATGGGAAGAAACTTCATCCTGAGTGGTTTCCTCATCATCACTGCCACCTGAAATGTGCAGAACAGTTTTACCAAGTGTCAGGACCCTGACACTCATAGGCCTTAAATGTCCTGACCAGCATTACAGGGGGCCTCTGCCCACCCCCTCCAACTAGGGGTTCCATTTAAACTCAGTCTAGGGCACTTGAATCCCTGGGCATGGCCTCTTACACTGCCTTACTTGACGACTGCCAGATCTTCAGCCAGAGCTGCTGATGTTCCCACTCTGCTCTGGTGAAATGGCACTGGGTCCCATGGCATTGCCCAGTCTGTGCTGTGCTGGTCAGATCCTTAGGACAAAATCCTGCACTGGAGTGAAGGGCTAACCTGGAGGAGGAGCTGGGTAAGACGGTCCTCAGAGGACTCACACACACTGCAGCCCTCAGCCTCACCCCTTTCCAGTCTCCCCAGTCTACTACCTTGGTGTTACTGGAAGGGGCAGAACTCACTGCTGCTGGAGTCAGGGTCTTGCAGTGGATGAATTGTTGGCCTTTGGTCCCCAAGAGTTCCAGGAAAGCTATTTTTCATCATGGCTTGGCGGGCTTGCTCCTCCAGCCCTGCAAAGACTTGCTCCCCTAGCAGCCACAAAGACAAAAAGTCAGACTGGTGCTGTTCCACTGCTTCGCATCACCAAAGCTTGCCAAAAATACAACAGGCATGGGACTGCTCACCTGCACTGTGCAGAACCTCTGGAGTCACCTCCTGGAAAGCACTTAGGTCACTTCTCTGCTTGCCTACCCTGCCACACCAGCCTCTGGCACCTGCTGATGTGAGTCCAGTGCCTGGATGTAGAAGAGTCTCACTAGTGGCAATGTGCAGCACTGGGCTGCTATCCGCATACTATGTGTATGCCCACTCCAGCCACAAAATATCTGTGACTCCATATATCTGCCATAAATAGCCAGGTGGCTCTTGCTGCTGCCAAGCTATCCACCAATATCCTACAGCACAGCTCAGGGTGGGGGGAAGCCCCTGGGGACTGTGACAGTATCCCAGATCAGGGATTTTACTGTATAGCTCTTCTAAATTATTAACTCTTATTCCTGGCTATAGCAGGCATTTTGCTGAAAAATAGCACCTCTCTAAGTGCCTGGTACCTCATCTGCCCTCCACAGTGATCTGAAAACCAGGGGTTGTCCTTGGCATGCTCTGTCACTTTCTTCTGTCCTAGGAGGAATGAGGACAAGCTGCCTTTACAGAAGGCGTCTATGCTTGGAGCTGGTGTTCTCCTGTGTATATGATGGATAGTAAACTACCCTGCCTTGCCCAGAAATGGCTCTCGCTAAAATAAATCTCACTGGCACTTCATGTGCTCAAAACAGAAACCTAAGGGAATAACCCCAGAGAGCTGAGATGCATGCTTAGGGCAAAACAATTTGTTCAGTTGAAAACAGTGACCACTAGTACCTCAGCTCAATAGGACATGGCAAACACCTTTAAAGAAAGTAGTTACTTGTGCTCTGAATGAAAACTTCTTACAGCAATCCCTGCTCAAAGAAGTTTTGGTTCCAGAGAATAACAATAAAATGCAACCATTAATTTTCATATTAAAGAAAACAAATTACATTATTCCAGGTGTAGTCATGATTTACCTTTTCCAGTGCATGAGCTGGGGGGCTTGGGAAAGGTGCTGAAGCTCCCAGCAGGCTGGCTTTTGAGTTGCATTTATCAACTGATTTCTAAGTGCTTAAGAACCATTCAAAGCACCAATCGCAGTGCATTTTTCACATAAAATCAAAACACAGCTTTCAGAAGACAAAGTTACCTTTTAGTACAGGGCCACAGCTGGCACCAGTATAACCAGGAAATTGAACTCCTGAGAGAGCACCAGTCCTCTTACAAGGACAGGTACATTCCCACGTGCTGAACTGTTCCAGCCAGTGTTGCTCCATGTTCCCATTCACACTGCCTTCCTTGAAGCTCACCTTGCAATTTTGGCAGGGCTTTAAAAAGCTGTGATTTATGGAAGATTTCAAAGACCTTCACAAGTTTCACTGAGATTGTGGGAGAAGAGTTTTAGTTCCCAATGTCCCCATGTAGGTTTCCAAAAGCATTTCAAGGCTTTTATCATTCTCTTTCAGAAATGTGAGAAAGAGTGCTGTAGAGATTTGAGAACACAATCCATGTGCCTGAGCAGAGGTGCTGAGGAGCACCAAGTCTATTTGTCATTGAAAGCAGCAGGGACTGCTGTGACACCCCCTCAGAAGCCATCCCAGCACTGAATGGTTTTCATGACCTGGAGTGATGTTTTTATATTGGGACCACAGGCTCACATTGGTGGGACTGAGATACAGACTGTACAAGCAGCATACACCACAGAATTCCAGTGCCTCTCCAAGAAGCAGAAAACCACAAACCACCACGATAAAAGTCCATAGACCAAAAAAGCATTGCAAGAGAAAGCATGGTGAAATGAGGAAACCTGCAGAACACAGGACTGATGTAAAACTACGATGGCAGATGTGCTGCTACCTTTGACAGAATTCCAAAACAGAATTCCCAAATGCCACTGAGGCTGCTCGTGGAAGCAATTATATGTTTGTTTTCCTCCCCCTATTCCCTTTCAGACAGATTATACTCCCACTGAGCAGCAGCCTGGAGTCCAAAGGCAGGGCAGGTTCCTGCTCAGCTATACAAACCATGCAGACAGTCTGCAGGGTTTAAGAGCTGGGATCTTTATCTGAGGTGACAGAAGAAGGAAATTCTCACATAAGGAACACTGTCATCAGTCACAGTAACTGAGCAATTGTGTGTGCCTCCAGCTTTTGTGCAACATCCCCAGAGCCCCGTGAGCATTGACTCGGCACAGTGCAGAGAACAACCAGCTTACAGCCAGCAATGCAAGCTGTTAACCAAACCCATGCTGTTAGCAGGACATGTCCTGTGCATCCTCCCCAGCCTCTATCTAAAAAACATCACGGGACTGGGAAAGGCAAACATGGAAAAATACTGTCTTCCACTTGTACAAAATTTCTTATGTATTACAGTAATACAAAATAACTTACGAGTGTCCTGTTCATCTACTGACAGACTAAGTCCTCCTTTGATGAATCTTTACAGCTTTAATGTTGGATAGGTTCAGGATTATACTTTTGATGTTTCTGCACACACATGCTCATGAACAGACACACCCCCACCTCCACCCCACTTTGGGTATGCTTCCAATCACTTGGAAGAGGAGTTGGACAGGCAACAGCTTTAGGATCACTGCCATAAGTAAAGGATGTTATGCTCAACAGTGAATTCACAGACTCTTCTCCAGAAGTTTCTTTATTAAATACAAACAGGGCTGCAGGCTGACCAAACACCAAAACAAATCTCTGTATTTGTTTACAAACAGCTAGAGATGTAGAACAAGAGAGATGACACAAATGCCTCTGCTTTGTATTCCATTCTCCTCTCCATACTGCTGTGAATGAGAGGGATGCCAAGTCAGCAGTGGTGGAGATAGGGGACAGCCCTGTGGTACTGTATATCATGGGCAGGCATGACTGCTAGGGTATCAGCCCTGAGCCCTTCCCTTCTTGAACTGTATGAATGCAGGATAACTCTCAGGTGTTCTGGAAAATAAACACAGAAACAAACAACTCCCACCCCAAAATCCAAAAAACAAAATCCAAAGGGACTACATCATTCTCCTGCCTTCCTTCCTAAATAGAACGGTCTCTTAGAGATGAGTCAGTTTATTCCCTCCTTGTACATAAATTAAAAGTCCCTGTTCATGTAGGTCTTCTCTGTGTTCCTGGACCTGAAATTTGCAAGTCTTTCCACCACTGTGGATCTATTCCACCTGCCCAATGGCTATTCTGGGTTGTCCACACTGCTGTAGTGGTTACTGAAATGAAAAACAACACAATTGAAACGGTTAACAATGGCAGTCCATGGAGCCCTTCAGAATCAAGGGATCTGATGCAAGTAACATTTCTGCTTGGTTGTGAATGCTGGGTGCTATTTCTTGCAAGATACTTTCCCTTCAAATGGGACTGTTATAGACAGGAGAATCCAAGGAACATCAAAGAGCACAGAACATGTGTGTGTTAGAGAGAGAGGGAAGAAAATAGAGGATTAATGGGTTATTGGAGCCATGATAAATAGAGCTCAGAAGCAGGAATTAATCTGCAAAAGACTACAAAAGCTCTTATCCAGAGTCCTAAAATAAGCATCAGCTGCAGAGGACAAGCAACAGAAAGCAAAGCAGCTTGTGGACAGCAAGGAGAGAGAAGTGCATGCTAATACCTGCAACAAATTTTGGCAAGCACAAAGACAGCAAGCAGTCCATGACTGGTGGGGTGACAGCACAGTAACAGATGAATGCAAGAACTGATGAATTGTTAGATTTTTTTTTTTATTTTTATACTGCATACTCTGGGAGAAAATAAAGACCAAATTGAATCAATTAAGGTCTCTCCCCACAGACAACCTAACTACATTCTATTTTTCAACAAGCATATTCCACTATTCCTGCTCTGTTTGTTAGCACTTTGTCAGGTGTTTTTCATGCACCACATGGCAAAACAAAATTATATTCTTAAGAGCCATTTATGTGCTGCAGGGGGAATGACTACAGTTAAAATTGTGGGACTGGCCATCATGCACAGAAAGACTTTTGTGATAAATTCTACCACAATTTTTATCATTGTTTCAGTATTATTCTGAATTTCCTTACATATCAACTTCTATTTAAAACTGTTTTGTAACCGTAAAATCTCCTAGCTGGTTGCTCTGCTTGCCAAGCAAAGTGATTCTGTCGTGAGGACAGAAAATCATGTTGTGAGAGCAAGGTGAAATGAGGGCCAAGCCAAGCCTGGAAAGTAATCCTGGGAAAAGGAGACACCAAGCAAGCCAAGGGGAGGAAATTGGCAGCTGTCACTCACCCTAGTCAGTCCAAGAAGGAAGAGAAGATGGAGTGGCCATGCAAGGAAGAAGTAGGCACCATCCTCCCATCGAATTTGTCCAGTCATATATGCACAGTCGTATTTATGCAAATCCAAAAGGCAGTCCCCCAGCCCCGTAGCCTGCCAAATCAGACCCCAGCTGCAGGCAACTGCGTAAAAAGCTGCATACCTGCTGTCCCTTTCATTCCTCTCCTCCCAACCACTGCAGTCCCTGTGAAGAAGTCCCAGTAACGTGTCTGCTATGTCTCAGCCTGACTCCTCATTCTGCTGGCTCACCCCGTTCTTGGAGCCGGTGTTTTCTCCGATTATCCTCGTCAGGGCACTGCACGGCATTTCTGGGCCCTCCAGACACACAGCAGGCTAGGTAGACAGAGAAGTCCCAACGATTTCGTGGTGTTCATCATAAGACAGACAAGAATTTCCATCCCAAGGTGAAGACATCACCACTGACAAGTTTCTGGTATCTCTCGGTCCCCTTATTTTCTTGTGGTCCTACTTGCTGCTCTCGATGGCTCCTGCTGAATAGTTGCTGTGTAGCAACATACTGCATGTAAAGGAGATGAACAGGTCCCAGAACTCCACTCCGTGGCATACCTGATGCTATAGCCTCCTGCCCCCTGGTAGCATGTTTGTCAGATAGCTTCCTCCAAAACCAGGACCAGAGATACAATAATTTGTATTGCAGATTAAAAAAGCAATGTTCACTGTGAAAATAGTGCACCACTGAATTTTGTGATGCGTAGAGTTTTGTATGTAATAGTACAATCTTCTGAAGAACACACCCCTTATGCAGTGAAGTGCAGAAAAGTACCCAGCTAAACACCACGGAAACTCTATCTGCACCATTAGAGCTGCTGTAGTGCTTGATTTCCATACTCAAGAGATCCTGACTCTGGCCCAGGGAAGACAGCTTAAGTGCATACATGACATAAACCTGAACTCAATAACAGCAATAATACCTGGGCACTCTAAGAAGCGGAAGTGTGTGGACACAAGGCATGTTACTGGCATCACAGGAAAAAATAAAGGACATATCAAATTTCTCTAAGAATGACAACTCCAAAGTCATTAATGTACTATCAGATAAATTACACCTATACTCTGCCCACAGTGGAACCCAGCAACCAGAAGCAGGAATCGGAGAGCACAAGGCAATGCAGGTGCCACAAGCCACACTCCTTGAGAACCTCACTCTGGCCAACAAGGACAGCTCAGTTGGCTCTGCCAAGCTGCCCAGCCAGTGGGGCTGCGAGTCCCAGACAGAGGCAGTTCTTCCCAGTGCATTCACCAAGTGTGCAAGGAGTCAGCTCCAGCCCAGTGTTTCCCCTTGCACAGAGAGCAGCATGCACAGACGCCTGTTGCGTACCTGTGCACAGAGGCAGCACACAAACACACAGACATGCAAGCCAGTAGCACCAGCAATGAGGCAGTGTTAGGGCTGCAGCACTCAGCTCTGTCTCGCACTCCTGACAGCTACTGCAGCCAAAAAGACACAGGGCCCTCTCAGCAGCCTTGCTCTCACAGATCTACAGAAATGGAAACTTATTTTCCTAATTCCAGCCCAATTTCCAAGCATGCTTCCAGCCACAAACCTGGGTATGAACAAGGGCATAATTTCAGGCCCCTCAAATTCCCTCTGCTGCCAAACAAAAGCTATACATGTGTGGTTTCCCCTCTGCAGCCAAACCTCCATCTCTGTCTCCCAGCTCCACTGGTGCCTGACTGTAGCCTGCCCGCAAGAAGTGCTGATGCAGAGCATCTTCAGCCCTTTCACTGTCAAACAAATGCTAAGGCCTTGCCAATGACAGAGAAACAGAGATCCATCTTACCACCTCAGCTCAAGAATAATCTGGCAGACAGCAGTTATTTGTCCTGTAAATTACTTGGCCACCACCTACTCCTTGACAGGAAAAAGCAAATGGCTTTATTTCATCCTCTGTTAGAAACTGAGGTACAGAGAGTTTAGGTAACATGCTCAAGGCCAGTCAGCTGAGTCTGTGGTAGGATGAAGATCAAAACCCAGGACTTGCTGGCTTTTAGCCAGCAAGCTCCAACCACCTAGAACTAGAACTTCCTTTGCTACGCAAGAGCAGCCAGAGCCCCAAGCCACATTTTCTAGTGTTCTAACTTGTACTTTTGACAGTGTGAGTGCAAAGCCCAGCTACAGGCCCCGCACATACACGCTTATGTTCTCAGCATCAGCTGTTTGTTCAAGTCTATCCCTGTCCTGCTATGCCAGGACACAGCCAGCTTCTCTGATGCACAGAACTCAATTTCTGTTATTTTATAGCCTAAGACAGAAGATGAGTAACCACCATTCCCCACAAGCTGTCCCTTCCTATCACTCCCATCATTCCACTCCCTCCTCACCTCACTCCACAACCCACCCAGAGCAAGGGTCCCACAATGCTGCATAACGTCATACTCACAGTGAACTTTGTTAGGAGTGGTCTGTTTCCGACGGGACATGTTTTCCTGACCTGGGAGCACAGAGTGTTCCTCCCCTCTGCAGGGGGCTCATCTGAGAAGAGAAGAGTCTGTCACACACTTCACTGAAACCCTGCACGTCCCTGGCCAAGTTCTGCTGGCTCTCCCAGGGTCATTCCCCACCCTTCTGCATCACCACAGCTGGATGCCAGGCCAGCATCCAGCACAATCCACAAGTATGTCACAAAGCATTGTGCATGGGCAGTCCTGCCCCATTCTCAGGTAAAGATTTAAGCAATCCTGACTCCCTCAAAAAATGAGTGTCCCCTTCAAAAATTACTGCAACCTCAGTCCAAACACCCTTCTCTCTCCTGCCTATTCCTGCAGCCTAATAATTATCCTTGTCCTTGTACTGAAAGAGGAAGGTGGCATTTACAACAGTCCTCTCAGAAAGACAAAAGGAGGGGCTGAACCCATTTCCCACAAGACACATGGACATAGAGATCCCGCCAGCCTCCTCAGAGGGACAAACACACAGATTTCATCAGCCTCTCGCTGACAGAGAGACACAGACATCCCATCAGCTTTCTCAGACAGACGGACAAAAGGATCCAGTCGGCCTCGCACTGCCAGGCAGACACAGGGATCCCATCAGCCTTCTCAGCCAAATGCACACGAAGAGCTCGGCAACCTCCCCAGACAGCGGGATCCGGCCGGCAGTCCCAGCACACAGGAGACGGCAGCGAGGACCGGGCCCGCAAGCGGCCGGACACACAGACAAAGGGATGCGGCTCCCATGGCATCAGGACGGACGCGGGAACCCTGCCCGGGTCCCGACCGGGCAGCCCTGACAGACAGACCGGCTCCGGCTGCGGGGGTCCCGCCGCGGGGCCCGTTTCATCCCTCGCAGGCGGCAACCCCAGCCCGGCGCGGCTTACCCGGCGCCGCCGCGGGCGCCGGGAGCCGCAGACAGACAAAGGGCAGCGGACAGACGGACGGGCAAGATGGCGGAGGGCAACGCCGGCCTGCACGACGCGAGCGCGGGCACGGGGGCACGGCAGAACGGGCACGGGGGCACGGCAGAACGGGCACGGGGGCTCGGCAGAACGGGCACGGGGGCACGGCAGAACGGGCACGGGGGCACGGCAGAGCGGGCACGGGGGCACGGCAGGAGCGGGCACGGGGGCACGGCAGGCGCGGGCACGGCTCGGCCACAGAGCTCAGGTGCCGGCTTTCCGTTACCTGAAGTGTCTCACCTGTTTGCCATGGATCCAGCCCAGCGCGGGACTCCCGACCGCTCGAGGGAGCTCATCCGTGCCTGCGACGGGGCTCACTTGCCCCGGCCGCCTCCGCCGGCAGCTCACCGGGAGCCCTTGTGCCACCCCGGCTCACCAGAATCTCGCGTACTCTGCAAGGCCAAAATGCACGGGTTTAGCATTAACTCAGACCCACGGCGCGCGCTAGGAGCTCGCGCACCTGCCGAGAGAACCGCGCCGCCCCGCCCCGGGGGCTCGGGGCCGCCTCCCCTCACGGGCCACCGAGCGCCGCCGCGGGATCAGCAGGCCGCTCGGAACGCCCGCTAGGCCCGCTTACCCGGGGGCTGCGGCACCGGGACCAGGCCCGGGCTGGGCTTCGGTCCAACTCTCCTTCGCGGTGGCGCCAGCGCCGTGCGGCCCTCAGGGAGCCGAGGGCGCCACGGCCGGGTCACGTCTCCCAGCGGAACGCCGCGTCGCCGGAACTGCCGCGCCGGGGGCGGGCACCGGCGGGTGCCCATCAGGCGTGGCACCAGTAGATCGCACTCAGGATCCCTCCGCCGGGCTATGTAGTCCCTCTGCACCGCTCTCCCGGACCGTGCCCGTCTCTCCCCGGCCGCGGTTGCGCCAGGGCCGCATTTTCCGGGACAGCGCCCGCCGCGCCAGCTCGACTGCGCCCCGAACTGGGTGCGGGGAGTGCCGGAGACGGTGCGGAGAGTGCCGGCTTCGAGGATCACTCCGCACGTGATGAAGTCTTGCGGCACCGAGCGCCATTTTGCGTGGCGGGCCTGCGGAGCGGCGGGTGGTGAGTGCGGCCTTGGGGAGCGCTCGGCGTCCGAGACGGTGATGGGAAGCCATGCCTCAGGGTCTCCCGCAGCCCTGGGACTCGCTCCTGGGATCTGCTCCGCTCGTGCTGTGGGATGTTCTCTCGGTGCCACCTAGCTGGGGCGGGAGAGGGATTTCTCCCCTTTGCCCTCAGGTGCAGCTGCGCCGGTGGAGCTCATGTAGGGCCTTCTGCGCACTGTCCGGACTGTCCCTGAGCATTAGGCCAGACGCGGCGAGTCTCGCCGAACGGCTGCTGCGGCTGGCGGCCGTCCCGGCAGCCGGATCAGGCCATACTCGCTCCGCTCTGGGCAGTGCCGCCGCCGGCAGGGAGGGATGGGGAGGTGAGATGTGAACCGAGATCTTTCTATGTGATATCTTTTAAAGAAGCTTTTCCTTAATGAACGGGTTTTGCCAAACAGAATCCTATAATTAAATACTGTTACAGTTTGCTTTCTGTAGGGTTAAGAAGTTGAACTGGTTTCTGGGAGACTAAGCATGTGTTCAGTAGGTAGGAAGAGTTTGGGGAGTGTGAAATAGCAACTTTTTCCTTCTGATTACGAGATTGTTACAACCTTAGTTTCTAAGCGCCCTCGAGTTAATTATATAACTGGTTTATAACTTATATTTCGATAGGACAGAGGTGGGCTTGGCTCTTCAGTTGACTTCCCTTTTTTTTTTAAAATGTCCAGGAAGTTTCCTTGAAGTTCTAAGGCAAATCCTATTGGTCTTGGTGAGGCGCAGGCTTATGATGTGGGAAGGGAAATAATGAGCACTCAAGGTTCAGTCACTCATAAATAACTAGATTCAGGATTGTTTGCTTGGGGAATTTCTTGGCCTGCCCCCCAGTAAAACAGTGTCTAGTGTGCTGACTGACAGTTCTTGGTTCCAGTGACAATCCCTCTTCTCCACAGAAAGTGTTTGTCATGTTGGGCTCTGGATTCAAGGCGGAGCGCTTGCGAGTCAACCTGCGCCTCGTCATCAATCGCCTCAAACTACTGGAGAAAAAAAAGAGTGAGTATTAATTAAGGGGGCATGTGGGACCCAGGGTGCTTTTGGGGCTCAGGAGAGTTGAGAAGGTATTTCTGAAGTTGGAGTACTTTCATGGGCCAAGAATGGAATAGCTTTTTGCTCTTCCTTGCTAGACCAGGCCTTACAATCTGCCTGGTGCACAAGGAGCTGGAAGAGCAGTCTGGCCTATGTCCACTTTCTTGGCAGCTGTTGGAGTGCAGTTTGTGGGGTGGTAGGTAACAGCTAACATTAGTGGGCTGTGTGTGCTAACAGCACAGTGGAGAACTCCCTAGGTGCTGTGGGAGACCCACCCCACCTGCCCAGCCCTGACACAGGTCAGGTCTGTGATCCTGGTTAACTCTGCAGGGAGGTTGTAGGTGCAGGAGTATTTCCAGCAGCCTAAAGTCCACTTTCCTTTCTCCCATGAGTTGTGTGCTCAGACCTGGATATGCCAAACCATACCTGAGTGTCTCAGGCTGCAGAGGTTAGATAGGGGAGTGAAGCTGTTGGTGGCTTTTTGTGTGATGGGGACATGTGGGTGGTCTGGAGGCAGCAGCCCAGGCCAGCACAGTGACCGGGCTCGGGATGTGTGCTGCAGCTGAGTTGGCCCAGAAGGCAAGGAAGGAGATTGCAGATTACCTGGCAGCTGGAAAAGATGAACGTGCCAGGATTCGTGTGGAGCACATCATACGTGAAGATTACCTTGTGGAGGCCATGGAGATCCTGGAGCTGTACTGTGATCTGCTGCTTGCCCGCTTTGGCTTGATCCAGTCCATGAAGTAAGCTTTGGCTGAGAGGGTCCTGGACTCAGGAAGGGGCACTGCTGCGGGCAGGTCTGGCGTACAGAAGGGCATCCGTGTTTGTCTCTCCAGAGACCTTTTCTTCCCCATGTAGGGAAGACTGTGGAGCCCAGTGCATAAGATGGGAATTTAAAGGCTAAGCTGATTGAAGGCAACAAAGGCTGGGTGCACGGGATGAAGAGAGAATTGTTTTCTTTGGTCATAGGGAGCTGGACTCTGGCCTGGCAGAGGCAGTATCAACACTGATTTGGGCTGCACCACGCCTCCAGTCAGAAGTGGCTGAGTTGAAGATTGTGAGTAAGGGTGCTTGAGGGATGTTGCGCATGCAGGGTGGAGGTGATGCTGCCAGATGCTGATGGAAGCCCTTGTCTGGGACTCTATATCACTAAAACAGAGGATTTTTGTGGGCTCTGCAGATGGAAACCAGATGTCCATGGAGCATCTGAGGTGGCTGCAGCTGCTGAACTGGGGTACTCGGTGGGAAAAATGAGGGAGGGAGCTTAGTGGATGTGTTTGAGGTGGGGGAAAGCAGGGGTGTGCATGTTCTAGAGTTTCTCTCCTGCTGCAGGTTGCTGATCAGTTGTGTGCTAAGTACAGCAAGGAGTATGGGAAGCTGTGCCGGACAAACCAGATTGGGACAGTCAACGACAGGGTGAGGAGCTGGTAGAACAGGTCGAGCTGGCAGAGCAGCCATGCCTGCCTGCTGAGGCTTGCTGCTCCTTGGGACCGTGGCTAGTGGCTGATGGTTGCAGTCACTCTGGAGCACAGGAGGTGCTGTGCAGCCAGGGCCCACTTGCACTGGGGCATGGTGCTGAGGGCCAGGCAGGGAGGCCCTACTCTGCTGATTGTGGATGGGGAAGGGTAGAGCAAATAGAGCCCTGGCCCTGTGGCTACCTGCAGCATGCTGTACTGGGGGAGGAGTCTCCCCAGGGCTGCCTGCTGCTCGCTGATGGGATGGCACTGGTACAGAGCTGATAAGTGCTGCATTGCCCTGGCCCTACTAAGTCTCTCCATCCTTGTGTTCCAGCTGATGCACAAGCTGAGCGTGGAAGCACCACCCAAGATCCTGGTGGAGAGATACCTCATCGAGATTGCAAAAAACTACAATGTTCCCTATGAGCCTGACTCAGTAGTGATGGTTAGTGAGCCCCAGGATGTGGGGTTGCAGTGAACTGGGTGGTCCTTGTGCTTTGGTGTCTTCTAGACAGCCCTAGCATAGCATGATCCTTCTTCCTTCATGCATTCCTACGGCATGTGGCAGTAGTTAAACATACTACAGCCTGGTTCCCATTCTGTTTGCTGTTAATACCACTGTATAGCTGCTCTCTGTTCTGTTCCTGATGTGTATTCCCATCTTTGTCCATTGACAAATGCTGCATCTAATGTGTACAGAGGGCAGTGATCATAAGAGATGTGTTCGTGAGCAGAATTCTTCCACCCTTTCTAGGCTGAAGCCCCGGCAGGTGGAGAGGCTGATCTAATTGATGTGGGCTTCACGGATGATGTGAAGAAGGGTGGCCATGGAGGGGGTGGAAGTGGTGGATTTACAGCCCCAATGATAGGTCATGATGGGTTAGTACCCATGCCTGTGATGATGCCTATGCCCATGCCAGCAACAAATCCACCCTTCTCCTATCCACCTCCAAAGGGACCGGTAAGTTCCTGGGCTTTGTGTGTTTCCTTTGTCTGTGAAAGACTCCTATTGTGGTCCTTAGCCCTATACCTGATAGCTCAGTGTGTCAGCAGGCCATCTTCTCAGTGTGAGACTGCATGGGATGGAGGTTGTTGGCAGTACAGCTGAAGCTTAATATGCATCTTTTCTGTGGAGGTTCCTACCCCTGTTCTCCAGCCAGCCCTCTTTGCCTTCAGGGAACAGAGGAGTCCAGACTTAACTCCTGAGGCAGTCTTCTGACTGCCAGACTTTTGTCCAGGAGTTGGAGCTGCACTTTGAAGTTGGTAGGCTGGTAGTGTGCCAGAACTCAGTCAAAGAAATCAGGTGAGTGTTGTGGGGTGGGAATAGCAGAGAAAAATGCAGAAGCGTCCTGCCTTCAGACTTGCAAAGGGAGAAGACTGAACCAATGCCTGTTGCAGGTGATTTGTTCTAAGGGTGGAATGTGGGAGCTGAAAAGAACTCCTCCATTCTCTGAATTAAGTAATTTACAGGATATCTGTGTAGTCTGGAGAGCAGAACAGTGGGATGGCTTAAAGTTTTAATATGGTCCCAGTAGTGCTGAAGTACTTTTTGTGGAAAATCTGGGCCAAGTATCATCAGCTAGCTGTTGACCCAGGCATAATAAACATGCTGAGGGCTTGTGCCAGCTCTGGGTCCTTGAGGCACTGTTGTGTGACAAATGAGGGCAGTTCAAAGCCTTGTGTGAGCCAGAAACCTCTTTTCTATTCTGCAGAATTGTACACAGGGCCAGAAATGGCAGAGTATTTCCTTTATTGGCCCGGTACTTCTCATGCCTTGAAAGATTAAATGTTTACCTGTGCTGGTTCTCTAGAATAACCCACAGTCCAGTTAGCTGGGTCTGCCTACTCCAGGTAACTACATCTGTCTTGAGAATCTCTTCCTTGGAAGCAAAAACCCACTTGAATACTTGCCTGCATTTATCTAAGACTCTATCCTGCGACGCCCATGGCAGCTGTAGGCATGTGGTGTCTCAAAAGAGTAGTCTGCTGCATGACTGATCTCTCTGTACAGGAGAACTTCAGCGGCCTGCCAGTGGGGACCTACCAGCCTTTCACTAACATCCACCCACCACCAATTCCGGCAAACCCACCCACATATGACTCTGTAAGTGCCTGAGATTAATGGCCATTGCAGGCAGCAGAAGGATCCTCAGAGTGCAGTGATAGCCACGGAGAATGGAAAAGTTTGTAAAGGATACTGCTGCTAACCTTTCAGGCTTTTGCAGTGATGCTGGCGTTGCTTGCTGCTGTAGTAAATCACTGACTGCACATGATGGAAGGGTGACTTGTGGAGAGAAGTTCCTCAGTCAGCTCTGTGCTTTGGCCTCAAAGGAAAGATTTCTTTTACTGCATTGTTAAAGTGGTGTTAAACAGTTAATAAGCAGAATCCACAAGTTCTGGTTTTTGCAGCAGGAAGGGTTTATCACCTTGAGTCTGTTTAATTATGGCTTTTGAACTAATTAACAGCCTGGATAACAATTGTGGCTTACCTAGATGCTGTGTGTTTAAAGACTTTTCACAGACTTTCCTCAGTCCTTGAGGACAAACAAAGCAGAGGCTGAAGACTTCCCTTTCTATGCTTGTCTCTGGTTTTGTTGCTCCAGTTTGTCATCATGCCTCCCACTTTGCTTTTGGTGACAAGCTGTTTTTGTTTTTGCATTATCCTGAGTAGGGAGGAGCACAGTTGAGCATTGTGGGTGCCGACACTTTTGTGGTCTCACGGATGCAGCAGTGCAGGTTAACTGGGTAGAAATGAGTAAGGGGTGCAGCCTGCAGGGAATAAGAAGTCTTACTAGCACAGCTGAGTGTGCCATGAGCCTTTTTCCCAGACAGATCAAGACCTGAAACGGGACATTTTGTACCCTGCTGCTAGTCACAAGGGCCTGTCAGTGTTTCATGAAGAAAGGCAGCAAGGAGCTGTGATGACATGGGTGAAGGGGGCAGTGTTTTCCACTGGTGGCCTTAATAAATGTTTCAGACCTGATAGCGAATATGCTCGATTGATCCAGTTCCAGAATATGGTCAGTGAAGCTTAATTGACAAGGAGGGAGAGAAAAGATGAAGAGCTGCCTCTGTTTCTTGGGAAGAGAGGCAGGTTGTTGCAAAGCCATGGCTGCCTGCAAGGAGTGTGAGGAGTGCACTGCTTTGCCGGAGCTGTGCCTCTGAGCTCTGCCTGTGTGCTGGTGTGACCGTGCCTGGTGGGACAGAGCTGTAGTAACTGAGAGTAACTTGTCAATCTTTTTCAGATTGATGAGCCTGACTCTGACAAGGATGCTGCTGCACTAGTGCCTGGTGAGTATGTTGAGGTTTGGAAAACCTTGGTATTAGGGGCTGTTCAGAAAACCCCACTGGTACTGCCTGTTGCTGGAATGACTGTTCCTTTGTGGGCTCCATTTGGCCCAGCAAGTGTGTGCTGATGGTGAGGTGCAGTGATACTTCTCTTATAAACAGGGCCTGAGCCCAAGCCAGAAGCTTCTCCTAAACCAAGAGCTGGAGCTCCTAGTACCTTTGATAACTTTGTACTGCCTGAATTGCCATCTGTGCCAGACACACTGCCAACAGCGTCTGCTGGCGCCAACTCTTCTGCCTCAGAAGACATTGACTTTGATGATCTTTCACGGAGATTTGAGGAGCTGAAGAAGAAAACATAAAACTTCCAGGGCTGCAGGAGGGAGGGGAAGGAGCTGTGACATCTTCTCTCTGAAACAGACTCCCTTTGAAATTGGTTTCCTGTATTAACCTCCAGTGAACATGCTCTTCTTTTTGAGCTCTCTTCCTACTGTACTTACACCAAGTGCTGCCGCTTTCTGATCTTTGCTGCTCCAGGAGATGAACTGTGGGGAACGTTGTCAGAGTGAGGCAGGGAAGAACCCCTGTCAGTCTGGGTAGCTGTATGGGGAAGCTGCGCATGTTCTGGGTGTAGTTCCTGGCTGCCTCCGTGATGGCTCCATGCCTGCCAGCAGAGGCTTTCTCTTGGAGAGCCCTCACTGGCCTTCATGGTGTTCTCACTGGAGTCTATTTTCGGTTTGGAGGAGGGTAACAATGTCTGCCTGGGCCTAGTGGGTATGTGACTAGCCCCACAGAGGGCAGAGTTAGACAGGCTCTGCTGCTGCCTCGGGGTTTTGATGCGACAGCTTTCCTCCCGGGTGCTGAGCGGCCAATGCTCATCGAGAGGGTGGGTGTGAGGCATGCAGGGTGGTCTGATGGGATGTGCTGGTAACAAATCCCTTGTTTACCTTATGCGAATCGCGGGCGAGGCACCCCGGAGTGTAACGTACCTGTCGGTGGCACTGCGGCTGTGCCCTGTCCGTCTGTCCGTCCGTCCCCGGCCGCTTCCGGCGGCTCGCGCGCTGCTCTCGTTCAATAAAGCGCGGGCCGCGCCTCGCCCGTTGTGCTGCGCCGCTATTGGCTGGAGAGGTACGGCTTCCGCCAATCGCAGAGAGAGTTCCCGGAAGTGCCCTCGCGTCTCGGGCTGAGCACCATGGCGGCGCCGCTGCGCGTGAGCGCTCAGGGGCCGCGGGGACGTCCCGGCGGGGCCGCTGAGGGGACCCGGGGCACGTCTGGCCTTAGCCGGTTACGGCTGCGGCGGGCGGGACGGGTGGTGTGGGTCCGGGGCGGTGTGCTGGTTGGGGAGGGAGTGGCACGGGACGGGATGGGTGTGCTTGCCGGGGGCGGGCCGTGCCTGGCGCGCTGCTGACGGCCTGGCGCAGGGACGGCTGCTGGTGCTGGGAGGCTGCGGGCTGCTGCTGGGATCGGCGCTGGCCGCACGCGACGAGCGGCTCTACACGGCGGCGGTGATGCCCGCGCTCCGGGCGCTGCCTCCCGAGGCCGCCCACGGCCTGGCCTTACGCGCCGCCGCCCTCGGGTTGCTGCCCTCCGCCCGTCCCGACGGCCCCGCGCTGGTGCGTCCCGAGCGCGGAGGGGCAGGGGGTAGCGGGGAGGTCGGAAGGGCTGTCAGAACGGAGGGATAGGGGGTGGTTCGCAGAGCCCGCCGTGCTGCGCAGGCGGCTGGGTCCCGTCGCAGTCCGTGGTGGGCGACGAGGGACCCTCGGGCTGGCACCCCACAAGGACACCAGAAAGGGCAGGGGAGGCGGCCGGATTTGTCGGGAGGGGGGCTGGAGAGAGACCTTGGAATGGGTTCTGGAGTTTGTGGGGTCTGACCCAGCCCCAGCCCCGCAGGAGGTGCGAGTCCTTGGGCAGCGATTCCGCAACCCATTGGGCCTGGCTGCTGGCTTTGACAAGCAATGTGAGGCTGTGGACGGGCTGTACAAGATGGGCTTTGGCTTTGTGGAAGTGGGGACTGTGACCCCCAAGCCCCAGGAAGGGAACCCCGAGCCCAGAGTCTTCCGGCTGGCAGAGGACGAGGCGGTCATCAACAGGTGGGTTTTGAGAGCAGCTGCTCTGCAGTGTCCTACCGTGAGGGAAGGTGAATACTTGGGTGGCCCCACATCTTTGGTGCTGTGGTGGCTTTTGATTGGATGTGCTGAGCAAAGCTGCAGAGACCACACACCTCCCTTGTTTTTCTCACATGTCCTGTTCAGGGTCTGCAGACATAACCCAACCTTAAATCCCCTCTGTCCTGGTGCAGGTATGGATTCAACAGCCATGGCCACGTCGTGGTGGAGCGCAGGCTGCGAGCCCGCCAGGAGACACAGAAGAGGCTCACTGGTGGTGAGACAAACTTGTAAGCCTTTGCTCTTGGGGTCTGCAGGTAGGTTTGGGCATCTCCCAGGTACCTGCAGGCCAGGATTGGTGTGTAATGCTAGTATCCAGGCACAGGAGCACCTCAGCTGGAGCAAGGAACACTTAGCAAGACTCTCTTGGGTCTGTGGTCTCACCCCAGCATTGTGACTAGGCACATTTCTCCTGCTGTTTTCTCTGGGATCAAGCTCCACTTGCTGCTTTGGGCAGGATGTGTCTGCTAACATAGCCAAAGCCAAGAGGATCCCAACTGGGCAGATCCTGAGGGCAACCTCTGCCAGGCTGAAGGCTATTGTGCTGGGAGGTGCTGACTGGGGTGGCTGTGGCAATGCTCCTGTGGTTGCAGGACAGTCCCAGGCCCATCCTCATGAAATATATGGGCTATATATATCCTCATCTTAACTTTAGCTGGTCCTGGGACCTCCTTTTTTGGGTGCTCTGGCCGTTGGGTGGTGATTGGTCCTGCTGCCCTGGTTCAGCTGTGTCTGGGTTCCAGCTGGGATGCCTCTTGGAGTCAACCTGGGCAAGAACAAGAACTCTACTGATGCTGCAGCTGACTATGTGGCTGGGGTTCGGACACTGGGCCCTTTGGCTGACTACCTTGTTGTGAACGTGTCCAGCCCGAACACCCCAGGGCTGCGGGACCTGCAGGGCAAGGCTGAGCTGCGGGACCTGCTAAGCAAGGTAGGTGCCTCTCCCCAGCCAGCCCAAAGCACAGCTAGAGCACTGGATGCATCTCATCTCCTGGCAGTATCTGCACTGCTGCAGTCAGTGGGTTTGACCGAGCACAGGGAGGAATGGGGGTGGCTTTCCTGCATGGTGGGCAGGACCACTGAGATGTCCCTGTTAGCTGCTGCCGTGAAGTGTACTAGGGCACTGTATCCCAGCAAAGGGCTCAGGAGCAGTGAGGTGTTGCCTTCTACTTGCTCCTGCAAGAGTCAGCGAGCCATCCACCCCACAACTTCAGGCATTGCCTACGTCTTATGCCTGCTGTGTGCTCCAGACCCTGTGGCAAGGGTGCCTTTCCTGTTTTTGGTGCCCTGTAGAGGAGCAGGGGCTGTCCCTGTACTGCCTGTGGTAGTGGGTGGCCATAGCTCCTAGTTGGGGCAGGAGGCCTCTCCCTGCCATGCACTGCCATGTGCACCTACAGGTGCTGGTGGAGAGGGACCTGCTGCCCTGTAAGCATAAGCCAGCCGTGCTGGTGAAGATTGCCCCTGACCTCACTGCACAGGACAAGCAGGACATCGCCAGCGTTGTCTGTGAGGTGAGGAAGTAGGAAGAGAGGCCACTGGAGGCAGGACCGTGGTGGTCCTGGCAAATCACCTCTCAGAAGGATACGTATGCCTGCAGCTCTCTGGCTGCTGCAGGGATGGTGTCCTGGGTTGGTCAGAGTCTGTGAGTGCCCATGTGGGTCACCCAGGCATTGGGTCACCCAGGCAGTGAGAGGCAGCTTTGTCCCCAGGCACATTTTTGGGTTGTGTGCTGGGTGGCCCTGACCTGGCAGGAGGGGAAGGGAATGCTGGGCTGCTTGTGGAAGCTGTGTCCTCACACTACTGCCCCTGCAGCTAGGTGTGGATGGGCTGATAGTGAGCAACACCACTGTGAGCCGGCCCAGCAGCCTCCGGAGCAGGCAGCGCACAGAGCCTGGGGGCCTCAGTGGGAAGCCCCTGCGGGAGCTCTCCACACAGACCATCAGGGAGATGTACGCTCTCACTCAAGGTGATGGCAGAACAGGGCTTGGGGGCACGTGCCAGCATTGCCTGTGCCATCCTGACCCTGTGTCCTGCCCACAGGCCGGGTGCCCATTATTGGCGTGGGTGGGGTGAGCAGCGGACAGGATGCCCTGGAGAAGATCCGTGCTGGAGCCTCACTTGTGCAGCTGTACACCGCACTGGTGTACCACGGGCCACCAGTGGTGGGGGCAGTGAAGCGGGAACTGGAGGAGCTGCTGAGGTGAGTGGAGGCCAGGCACGTCCCCAGAGAGCCCCTGGTCCTAGGACAGCTCAGGACAGCTGTGTGCTGGTGTCCCCCAAGCAGTGCCAGCCCAGTCCTAGCACACACTGTCCCTGGTTAGGGAGCAGGGCTTCAAGAATGTCATGGAGGCAGTTGGAGCAGATCACCGCTGCAGACATGCTGCAGAATGAAGGTCCATCTGGGAGGAGCCATGGCAGAGCAGGCATGGGTGTGACAATTCCAGTGCTGGGCAGACTGAAACTGAGATGAAGTCCTGGTTCCAGCCCCTAGGAAGGATCTGATGAGTGAAGCAGAGGCTGCACTGGTGGGCAGCAGGGGACAGGGCCTTCACAACAGTGCTGCTTTTTCAGGGCTGTGTTGTGGCTTCCCTGTGGACAGCAGAACTGAGTGTCAATAAACATTTGGCTCACCTGGTCCTGTGTTGTGCTCTGGGGACACCCCATGGGCTGGAGGGATGTAGCATAGCTCTCCTCAGCTGAGCAGAATCAGCTCTCTATGTTGCTCTCACTTTTCCTGGTGGGAGAAGCCACCAGGGTAGCTGAGCTCTGGGATGGACTGACAAATGCATCAGGTCTGCCCTGGCAGAGACTTCTGCATGAGGCCAGGCCCTTGGACGGGAGGGAAGGCAGTGATGGTGCTGGGTGCCAGTACACAGCTGTTTTGGAGATGGCTGCAGTCATACCCTGTCAGTTGTGGAAAGGGCGTGATCAAAAGTGCTTCTGTCTGTTGTTTTTTTCTCTGGGATCTCTGGTGCTGACTTTCCCTTCACCCTGAACTCACTGCAGTCATCTCGGGCTTTTCCTGAGCAACAGCTCGCCCTGCACAAAGCATTCCCTCAGCAGCCTCTTGCAATCCACCCTGCAGAGCAGGATTGCTCAACAGCACTTCACCAAAATTGTTTACAACTGCTGGGAAACTCTTGGCACAGTGGCTTCCTCTCAGGGCTTGGCAGCTTCCTGGGGGCCTCTGCCAGGTTGGTGCTAAGCAAGATGGGCTTTTTGTGCTTTTCCTGCTGGGAATTGTGCTGACTGCAGGCACCAGGGTCAGGAGACCTGGAGCCCGTGGGCTGCACCAGGGTGAAGGAGGTGGTAATAGAAGAGGTGAGTAGGAAGCCCCAAGCAGGAGTGACCTGCAGGAGGAGGCTGTTACGAACATGGGGTGAGCAGCATCAATATGTCTCTGGGTGTCCTTGGTGCTGTGTCTATTCTTGCCTGGCTGAAGACCTGGCCCTACAGCGGATCAGTGTTGGGCCTGGAAGCACCTGGCTCCCAACACTGCAGCCTTGACCTCTGTAGCAGCAGAGTCCAGGTCTGACTCACAGCTGTCTGGTGGGCAGCCCCGGTGCATCGAGTTGCCCCTTTTTCCTACTGGGACAGGCCATGAGCCCAGCCAGGTCCCATGTCCTGGTGGAGCCCACAGCTGAGAGCCAAGATAGGAGTCTTCTGCTGAGGATGCCTTCTCCTTCCTGTAGAGCTGCTGATGGCTAGCCTGGAGTGTGCTAGGGACTGCAGCTGCCACCGGTACCTTCCAGGGGAGCACTGGGGCTCGGCAGGGAGCAGGCACGGGGCAGGAAGACAAAACTAGGGAGGGACCTAGCAGAGGTGGGAGCATGTCCTGGGCTCGGTGCTCTGGGCCAGCTGAGCATTCTCTGCCTGCATACTGGAGCTGTGCAAAGCACATGGAGCACCAGGTCAGGTACTGCTGCGACCTGTACCACTGGCTGCACAGCTCTGGTGATGGTGAGGTACACAGCATGGGCATAGCACCCAGGGACAGGACTTCTGCCCCGCTCCAGGGAATGTGTGGGGCTGCCCCAGTACTAGGTGATTCAGCCTGAAACTCCACCCCACTTCATGCGGGTTCATCCAAGCCCCGTGGAGGTACAAGCACCTCTGTGCCTGCCTGGCTGCAGGGCAGTGGTGCTGACTCTGGTTTTCCTTTAAAAGGGCATACAAATGTGATGAGAATCAGGTATGGGTGAGCCCTGATGCTGTTAAGGATGTGCCTGTCTGTGAGCAGGAGCAGGCTGCCTGTCTGTGAGCAGTCTGGGCTTCTGAAGGGGCTGCAGGGACTGCTCACAACCTCCATCTGTAGTGCTGCTCCCTGGCCTGCTGAGCACCAGCAGGTACCTGACACCCCACTGGGTTCAGAGGGCTCACCTGGGCCTTTTCTCTGCCTTATGTAGTGTGGGTGAAGCTGAAGAACCCTGCCCCAGGCAGATACAGTGCATCACTGGAGCCATGCTGGCTCAGATGGGCAGCTTCCCTTGGCAGGGCCAGATGGTGACTCGGCACAACCTCACTGTGGGGGCACACTCCTCAGTGACCAGTGAGGGCTGGCCACAGGCAGGAATGTGTACCTGAACATCACAGTGGGAAACCACACTGGAGGAGATTGTCCCTACACTGCAACTGTTCTTGGGCAGCTGGGAGCAAACCACCTTGAGCATCGAGCACGTTGTTGCTGCACCCCGGCTACCCGCAGGCTGTGGACCTGGCATTGCTGAAGCTGAAGGTGCTTCTTAGAGAGAAGGGCAGGACTATGTGCACCCAGGACGGGTGGGCTACATCTCAATCTGAGGCTGCAGTGCCACCTTTGGCTTTCCTGCCATGCTGAAGTATGTGAAACTGCCAGCGGCTGAGTGAGCAGTGCTAGGAACACCGCAGTGCTAGGAACACCACAGTGCACGGAATGCGTCCCACAGGCTGCAGCCCATCCTTGGCAGCGGCACCTTCTGCGTGGGCTGAGCAGGCTGCGGGAGGACCCCTGCTGTGGGGATGCAGGCGGAGCCTTGTCCCGCGGCTCCCAGTGAAACACCTGCTACCAGCTGGCAGCATCAGCTGCACGGGACTGCACAGCTGCCAGGCACGCACGGCATGCTCGTGGAGGAGTTCTGGCTTGCGTGAAGGAGACAGCGGCAGCTGGCTGAGGCCAGACTGTGAGAGAATAAAACTGTTGCGCACCAGGCTGCAGGCTCTGTGCATGTCTGTCTGTCCGTGCAGGCTCTCTCTGCCCGGCGCTGCACGGGCTGTCTAGGGGTGTAGGCGTGTGCCTGCCCTCGCTCCCGGCGGGGTCCTGCAGGGCTCCGGCGGCCGCTGGCCGGAGGGTCCGGGACTGCGGGGGCTCTGAGAGCTGCTCGCTCCTGCACGGTGTGGAGTGTGCATGGTGCTGTCCCCGGTGCGGCGCTGTCCTAGCCGCTATCCCGCTGTCCGTCCGTCCCGCTGTCCGTCCGTCCCGCTGTCCGTCCGTCCCGCTGTCCGTCCGTTCCGCTGTCCCGCTGTCCGTCCGTCCCGCTGTCCGTCCGTTCCGCTGTCCGTCCGTCCCGCTGTCCGTTCCGCTGTCCGTCCGTCCCGCTGTCCGTCCGTCCCGCTGTCCGTCCGTCCCGCTATCCGTCCGTCCCGCTGTCCGTTCCGCTGTCCGTCCGTTCCGCTGTCCCGCTGTCCGTCTGTCCCGCTGTCCGTCTGTCCCGCTGTCCGTTCCGCTGTCCGTCCGTCCCGCTGTCCGTTCCGCTGTCCGTCCGTCCCGCTGTCTGTCCGTCCCGCTGTCCGTCCGTCCCGCTGTCCGTCTGTCCCGTTGTCCGTCCCGCTGTCCGTCCGTCCCGCTGTCCGTCCGTCCCGCTGTCCGTTCCGCTGTCCGTCTGTCCCGCTGTCCGTCTGTCCCGCTGTCCGTCCCGCTGTCCGTCCGTTCCGCTGTCCGTCTGTCCCGCTGTCCGTCCGTCCCGCTGTCCGTCCGTCCCGCTGTCCGTTCCGCTGTCCGTTCCGCTGTCCGTCCGTCCCGCTGTCCGTCCCGCTGTCCGTCTGTCCCGCTGTCCGTCCGTCCCGCTGTCCGTCCGTTCCGCTGTCAGTCCGTTCCGCTGTCAGTCCGTCCCGCTGTCCGTCCGTCCCGCTGTCCGTCCGTCCCGCTCTCCCCGGGACTCCGCCCCGCGCCCACGTGACCGCGGGGAGGTTGCGTAGCCGGAAGTCCGCCCCGGCGGGGAGGGCGGCTTGTCTAGCGACGTCGGGAACTCGATGGTGGTGGCTCTCCCATAGGCTCCGGCCATCGTGTCTGTGGTGCCTTTGGCTAGAGGGGCTCCTCCCGCCGAGCACTGTGGGGCGGCCATGGCGGCGCTGCGGGAGCCGGGTCGGTAAGGGAGCTGCGGGCCTGCGATGGCCGCGGCGGGCGAGGAGTCGCTGCATCGGCTGTCGGGGACGAGCCCGAGCGGCGAGGCGGGCGGGCTGGTACTGCGGCCGCGGGGCGCCGAGCAGCACGTCTTTAAGACCCCGGCGCCGCGCGTCTCCCTGCTGGGGCTGGACGTGCTGGCGGCGCAGAAGCGGCGGGAGCGCCAGGAGGAGGCGGCCGGGGGGAAGCGGTCCCGGGTCGCGTCCTACAAGGACTGGGAAGAGGGTCGTGACGAGGCGGGCAGCGCCGAGGAGGAGGAAGAGGACGAGGCCAGCCGGAGCAGCCGCGGAGCTCGCAGGAACAGGTGGCGTCTGCAGGGGATCCCCGGTGCCGGCCGGGTGGGGAGCGCAGGGTGGGCACAGCCGGTGACGGGCAGCGCCGCAGCCGCCGCTGCGGACAGAGGGGGCCTGCGGGGGACTGCGGGGCGTTGTGGCACAGGCTGCAGCTGGAGCTCTGCGAGGCCAGCTGAAGGGCAGCTCTTACTCAGCATTTCTGAGAATTTTTTCTCCCTGCTCTGCCTGTCCAGACATTACCGCTCTGTCCACGTGGAGACACCTTCCTATACCGGGGGTGTAAGCGAGGAGTTCTTGGAACGCAGCCGGCAGCGGGAGAGGGAGCGTCGGGAACATGGAGTCTTTGCCTCCTCCAAGGAGGAGAAGGACCGGAAGAAGGAACGCAGCAGGGATCGGAACCACGATCGTAAACGAGACCGTGGTAATTGCTCAGAGATCTTTGTGGTGCTTTTTTGGTTTGGGTCTGGGCTTGTCCTTTGCCCTGTTTGTAGTCTTTACTAATGTTGTGATTTTTGCAGCAGACTTCGGGAGCTGCAATAGGTACCTGATCCTCTTTTGTTTTTGCAGAGGAGCGGGACAGGAGTCATCACAGCAGATCAGAGAAGGATGGCTCATCAGAGCGGAGTGGCAGGAGGGGTGAACCTGAGAGCCCCCGACATCGGCCCAAAGGTGGGAGTGGGACCCAGTCAAGCTCTTGTGTGAGACCTAACAGGGAGGGGCTTGGAGTTTTTTATGCTTCCTGCTGTTTTTGCAGGACAGGGGTGATAGAAAAGCTTGTACCTTGTTTATGGTTAAGGCAAGCATAAAACTCCCAGCTCAGCTTGGGTTTGGGAGCAATGTGCCAGCTGTGCGTGTTTGAAACTCTGGCAGATCTTGGCACCGTGGGGTCTGTTCTGGGCCTGTGTGGTGGAAATATGATCCTTTGAAATTCCTTGGAATCACTAGGTCAGCTCCCTTCCCTTAGACAGAGGGCCAGTGGGTATCTTCTCTCCATGCTCCTTTCTTAAAAGAAGTTAGGTGGCTCCAGGTGCCCAGGGCCGCTGCTTCAACAGCAGGTGTCAAACCCCATCTCTTCTACCAGATGCAGCCACACCATCTCGCTCCAGCTGGGAGGAGGATGATGGTGGCTACAGCAGTGCCCACCGCTCACAGTGGGAGTCTCCATCTCCCACACCTTCCTGTCGAGACTCAGAGCGTAGCCACCGGCCGTCATCGCTGCGGGACACGGACCGGCGGGAGCGGGACAGGTACCAGTGCCTGGGGCTGTGCTGTGAGCTGTGTGTATGAGAAGGGTCTGGCTGTGCAGTTCCTCCCTCCTGCTGTGTTTTCAGGTCTGTGAGGAGCCGGTACTCTGATAAGACGCCGTTGCCGACCCCATCATACAAGTACAATGAATGGGCTGATGACCGGAGGCACCTGGGGGCCACGCCACGCCTGTCCCGAGGGAGAGGTGAGGAATCTGGGCTGAGCTGCCCGGGGTGGGCAGTGTGGAATCCCCTTTCCTGTGGCACAGAATTGGGGTTTCCTTGGGAACATTCTGGACTCTCTGGCTCACCCCAGGGCGGCACACAGAAGGGGAGGAGGGCATCGCCTTCGAGACAGAAGAGGAGCGGCAGCAGTGGGAGGATGACCAGCGGGTGAGTCTGGGACGGGTCGGGGCTTGGGGCCACCAGGCTCTGGGGGCTGGGCAGAACTCAGTGCTGCATCTCTCCCTTCCCAGCAAGCTGACCGGGACTGGTACATGATGGATGAGGGCTACGATGAGTTTCACAACCCTTTGGCTTACTCCTCTGAGGAGTATGTGAAGAAGCGTGAGCAGCACTTGCACAAGCAGAGGCAGAAGCGGATCTCGGCACAGCGGCGGCAGATCAATGAGGTAAGGCCAAGACGCAGGGTTGGCTGCTCTGAACAGGTGGGGTTTGCTGCCTCTTGAAAGATCCACTTGTTGAGCTCTTGCTCTCAAGTGGAGAAGGATGCTCTTGGGCCAGGCTGAAGGAGTGCTCAGAGGGAAACTGTGGTTGAGTTCCCCTGGAAAAACCAGCCCTGCAACTCCTACATGGGCAGATTCCCAGTTGGAGTGGCTGGTGGATTGCAGTGTCCAGGGCAGCAAAAGTGCAGAGGACCATGCTCCTGCTGTTCTAAGTGCGAGTTACATTACTGGGGCTGTCCAGTGTTGGCCCAATGGATGCTGGGGACAGCTGCATTCTTTACATAAGCTGGTTTGTGTCCAGCCTTCCTGATGTGTTCTGATTGCCTTGCAGGCAATGTCTATCCTGCATTTCCTTGGAGACAGTCCTGTTGACCATGTGTTTCCTGTGGGCAGCTTCCTGTACTCTACTGCTTCCAATCCCTTACTGTTACTTCCCATGTGCTTACTTTCAGGCTCACTAGGTTTGAACCATCCTGTTGCCAGTGCAGAGCCCAGGCCCAAACTTGGTGTTCTAGTATGATCTCTGTGATTTTCTGTGGGGCTTCACTGTATTTCTGTTAACGTTGTTTCCTGCAGGATAATGAGCGCTGGGAGACAAATCGCATGCTGACCAGTGGTGTGGTCCATCGGATTGAGGTGGACGAAGATTTTGAGGAGGATAACTCTGCTAAGGTGCATTTGTTGGTGCACAATCTAGTGCCCCCTTTCCTAGATGGAAGGATTGTCTTCACCAAGCAGGTAGAGACTATGGCTGAAGGTACTGATGGCAAGGAGCTCTGTATATGTGAGGCCTTTTTAGTAAAGCAGTGCCTTTTCCCTGCAGCCAGAGCCAGTCATCCCTGTGAAGGATGCCACCTCGGATTTGGCCATCATAGCTCGGAAAGGCAGCCAGCTGGTGCGCAAGCACAGAGAGCAAAAGGAGCGTAAGAGGGTATGCAGCCCTATGGCTTACTGCTCACTGTACACGTTATGTAGTTCCTCAGAGCCTTGTTTGGACTCTGCAGCATTCAGGCTTTGGCAGCAGTGACGCTAAGGAGTTCATATTTTTGTGACCTGGGACATCCTGGCAGCCCAGCTTACTGCATTGCCTTGTATCAGCTGCTGTGGTGTGATTTTCTTGTGTGCTGCTGTGGGACATGAATCACCATGCTTTTGAACATTTGGATTACTGGAGAAGGAGGCAAGTGGAAGAATGCCAGGTAGCTTAGGGACTGTCAGCAGGCAGTATGGCAGCAGGATTTACCTTACCAGGTCTCAGCAGAAGAGTTGTGAGGAGAAGTATGGGGTAAGGTAGCAGATTCGTTTTTGGGGGTGTTTTCTAGGGACTTTCTCTAAAGGTCACATAGTAGCTGTGGGGAAAGTACAGGTGTGTTCCTTGTACATTGAAAGTGGTCTGGATTTGACTTACTTATAATGTGAGTGGAATGGTGGTGGTGGCTAAACTGATAGCAGAAGTAGGAGAAAAGCCCATGAGCTCTTGGCAAGGGCAGGAAGATTTTCTCTGGTTCACATCTGTGTAGGTTTAAGTTCAAATTTAATGGAAGAGTCAGCAGCTGGAGCTATTTTCTTAGGAGGCAGTTGGTAAT